CAAAGATATAAGTATGTTGAGCTAGAGTCACGAGATACCGCGATAACGTCAGTAAATGCCGAGCGCTTGGTCTCCGAGAGGCCGAGAACCGAGTGCGCAAACCGACTGCAGACATCAACCGGTGTCTCCATCGACAAGAGCTACAAACAGTGTGTATACCAAGTAGAAATAGAAATAAAGCATTACGTACCGAGGGCCATGGCAACGAGGGCAAGCTCGAGTCGTTGGGAGGCACCAGCCGCAGCAGTGTGAGTGTGAGCGCCGGTGCCAGCGTCGTCGTTTCGTCGAGGAGTAGCGTTCGAACCGACGAGAGCGCCCTCATGTGCCACGACGGCACCAGCGGCACGGCGGACAGCGGCGGCTTCGGTGGCGTCGCCCAGCGTCGCCCAGCGTCGCCCAGCGTATCCAGTGCTAGTTGGGCCAGCGTGGTCTCGGCACCCGAGGCCACGAGCATGTAGCCGAGGGTGCGCAGTCGGCCATCGACGTCAAACAACACACCGCGCGCAGTGGCCACGACGTCTTCGTCGCTGGGCAGAGACAAGAGACACTGGAGGATTGGAAGAATGACAATGACGTACGGCTGAAAGAAAAAGAACGCTGTGCTGCATGTCGCCGAGGCGAAACGAGAGGATTAACGGGACCCAGCTCATGACGTGCTCGCGCGAGAGGATCTCCGCCTTGGCGTAGTGCTCCATGCACGCACCGGCGCCGAGGCGCGGCAAAACTGTCGACATGCTTTTGTCAACCTCCATGTCGTCGAGGCGGTGCACGACCCGGGCGCCCAACACATCGAGCTTGGCTTCGCGTCGCCCTTGGCCGGGGCGTGATGGAATAAGGCCACCTGGAAACAGGATGAGCGTCGACGTCGCCTTGGCGTCCTCGTCTTCGTAGCCCAATTGCGCTTCGGCCATGGCGAGTGCCGCCTTGAGGCACGCATGGCAAACCTGCACGAGCGTCGAGAGCAAGCAGTGGTGACTGACGATCAGTGCCAACTCGTCCAACGACAAGGACGCACTACCGCAGATATATGTACTACAAGACAACGTCGGGCAAGAAAGCGGCTGACACCGGGATGTCTTCTTGATGTCGTGCTCGATTCGCGGCAGCGTGACCGTGAGGAGCATACACTTTTGCAGCGAGCGCTGGGCCGCCATATCGCCAACCTCGAGCTGCTCGTCCTCGCTGACCATCTTGACGTGAACAGCAAAGAGCGGCAGCACAAACTGCCGGCACGCCATCGAGAACTCCGAGAACGTTTGGAGGATCGGAGACACCAAGTGCAGCGTCGAGGCGTCAGCAAATGGTTCACGTCCGCCAAGTCGAGTCAAAGACGCTGATCGAGAGAAGACCAAATACTCAAAGAGCCACATGTTCGTGTCGAGCTTGTTGGCCGTCTCAGCGTAGACCGTGGGCAATGTACAGGGCCGACGTGAGTTCGGACGCGAAGTTTCATGAGTGCGCGGCACTTGCCGAGGTGCGCGAGGTCGTGGATGGCCAAAGCCCGCAAGCATCGACCTCGGAAGCAGTGCCAGAATTGGCGCCACCAAGTGCGGTAGCACAGACTGGAACGCCTCGCGCATCGTGCGCGCGACAAGCTGAAGGCACTCGTCCGTGCAAAGGCACTTGGCCTCGCGCAAGCGGCAGCACGGTTCCTCCAACAGCTGAAGCGCCCCTCGCACTTGCATGGTGTACATCGTATCGTCCGGTGTGCAGTACCAGTAAATGTCATAAAAAGTCGTTGGCAATCGCCAGTGTCTCGAGCGTCGTTCTACTTGCGACTAGATGGGATTGCTCACGAAGAGCGGTTTCACGTTGCTCTTTAAGCACTAGTCTCATCGTCGTGAGCAACCCTCCGCCAACGTCGAGTGCAAGTGTAGCTGCTGCGCGTAGTGCAGCAAGCTCATCGCCGGGTCCACGTAGAGCGGCCATTGCGCATGCAGTTGCTCGAGAAGCGCCACGAGTGCGCGCTGGGCGCTCACATGCTCAAGGCGTGAGAGTCGCGTAGAGTTTGGACAGCAGATACGCGGCTGTGAGTCCCGGCACCTAGTAGAAGAGGTCGTCGATGAGGTCATACATAAAACGCCAAGGCACCATAGCATCATCGTCATCGCCGTCTTGGTCCTTGGGCGCCTTGGCAGCCGGCGGTGCGAGGTCGTCTTCCGAGATAAATTGCATCCGCAACGGCGTCCTTGCACGCGCCGTGCACGACGAGCGGGTGGCGCGAGAGCACGAGAAGGTGCGGGAAGAGCGGGTGGTGGAGGAGACCCACGAACAGCTACTTACGTAGCAAACCTCGCTCGACTAGGGCACCTACTCTATCTGTGAGACGCAAGTGGCGATAAAGACGTGTGGTACCTTGTGCGAAACGCGAACGTGTGCGGCGCGTACCCCTTGGAGAACGAGGTCTGTGCCAAGTACGCTGTGAACCATGGGCGCGCGGGGCCACAGCAGATGCTCGCCGAGGGCTGGAAGCCCCGCTCGACTTTAAATCGATCTATGATCGTGCTATTGGCCGCTGGTGCAAGCACTCACAGGCTCATATTTTCCAGCACTGGTTGGCCTCGCGCTTGATCTTTCACTCCAAGGCCAGCGGCAATGCGAGCCCTCGATGAAGACCGGTATCATGGCCAATTTTCTGTGCAGGCGGCTCGAGGCTTTTGCCAGAGCGTACTTCTCTACCTATGCTAGTCTACATAGAGGCGCTCAGACGATGTCTCTGTAGACATGGCGCAGGCCCTACAAGCACCGCATGACGAGCGACCGAGTCGACCAAAAACGATGCCGCTGCCCGTTTCTTCCTCCTCCGAGGCGCCTTGCTCTTTTTTGGCAGCAACAAGCTTACATTGCCGATTGTCCTGCTCCACAACCTCCAGCCCCTCACGCCGTATCGGTCGTTGGCGTCTGTCGCGGACGTCAATACACTGCGGAGCTGTGCCGCTGATCGCGACGCCTGGACGAACTCTACGAAGCTTGTCGTCATGGCCCGCACTCGTGGCCGCAAGTGCCCCCAGGCGGCTACAGAAGAGCAAGACAAGCCACCGCTTGCGCAGTGCGCGGTTCTCGCAAAGGAATGGGCGCCGGCTGACTGTCGTTCTTATAGGAGAAAGTCGACGCGCCGTCGATAAGCAATGTCAAGTGTGATTTCGACTTGAGCCGACGACAGCAATCCTACCAACGGCCCCTCGTCGCCCAATCCCATGCTGTCGGTCACAAATAGAATCAATGTATCGCGTATTCGGTGGCATCCCATGGCAGCAATCCAACTCTGTGTCGCACGTCTTAATTTAAGCTCAGGGGTCCGACGCTCACTTGCAGTTTGACGCTCGCAAGTACACCCGCCGAAAACAAACTCTTCGAGTCCGAAGCAGCGCCATGCAGAAGAAGCGAGGCATGATGCAGCACATCGCGACGCTGCTCTGGAAGAACCGCATCATCAAGCAACGCCATTGGATCACAACGCTCATTG